CTCTCTCTCTGACAAATGAATAAATAAAATCTTTAAATATTGTGTAGTTTGTCTAAAGGCAAGGTCTACAGTACGATCCATGTTTGGTTCTAATATATATGCTAAAACTGGAAGGAAATTGCCCAATTGATAACAGTGTCTTTCTCAGGCAGGTGAAAATCTAGATGATTGTTTTTCTTCCTTTCTCTTCTGTATTTTTCAAAATTTCTACAATGAACAGGTATTACTCTATAGCACTATTTCTATATTACCATATATTACTGTATTACTCTTACAGTGATATTGGTAATTAATATATATACATAGTACTATGTTATACAGTATTGCTCATAGAAAAAAGGGTGTGTGTGTGTGTGTGTGTGTGTGTGTTGAGTGTGATGTGGCTATGCCATAACTGACATAGACTTTGCTCTCTAGAGAGCTCAGCCTCCCAAACCTAGACTGTTTATTTCCTAGAAGACATTCTTTGCCTGTATCTACCAGTTCCTCAGAAAACTTTATCAAATTCCCACTTCATATCAATTGTGGAGACAACTTAGGAAACGTTGGCAGAATTTTCAAGCCCTCCCACTAACTAGGATAGAATGAGCAGAAAATGATGGGAGCCCTAATCAATAACTTAATTTTTAAAATTTTACTTTTATACATGCTTATCTTCATTGGTTATAAAACACTCTTATTATCAAAGAGATGACCGTGGCTGGCGCTTTGGTATATTTCTTTTTTTTTTTAATTTTTTTAAAAGATGTATTTATTTCTTTATTTGACAGAGACAGAGAGAGCAGGAACACAAGCAGGGGAGTGGGAGAAGGAGAAGCAGGCCTCCTGCCAAGCAGAGAGCCTGATGTGGCACTTGATCCCAGGACCCTGGGATCATGACCTGAGCTGAAGGCAGAGGCTTAACAACTGAGCCACCCAGGCACCCCACTTTAGTATATTTATTTTCTTCCACTGAGCTGATGCTAAAAGTTGCCCAGGATATAACTCAGGAATTCAGGCCCCAGGAGATTTCTTTTCCAGTTGTCTTTTCTAGATAGAACCTTGAATGTCACTCTTTCTCAGAACGTCAGGGGACAGCAATGGGGCTACATGATTTTGTCTTCCAATCTGCTTCTCTTTAACCCAAAAGAAAAGACATTATTTGTATAAAGCTGTCCAAAGAACTCTGGTATTGTGCCTAGATTCTGGCTGTACAAAGATCAATAAGATGGTTTTGAGACAAACTATGAACAAATAATAAAAATACAACATGCAGTGTACTTTGATAGATATACACTGAGACTGCAGCACAAGAGCATAGTTGGGGGGAAAACCTAGGAAAATCTTTCACATAATCCTTCTGGATTTCTCCAGTTGTTGAGTTCTTAAGAGTGCTGACTCCTAGAATCAGCCAATGTAGATTTAAGCCCAGTTCTGCCATTTACTTGCTATATGACAGTGAAAAAAAAAATTGCTATAGCTTTCTGAGCCAGGAAGGACTGATCCCACCTTCCTCATAGGGTTTGTAGGAGAGTGACTTGAGATTGTCAGTAAAGCTTTGGGCCCAGTGTGTGGCTCACAATGAGCATGCTAGCGGTTCTGTGGCAGGACCACCAGACTCCCCTTCCTGCAGCTCTGTCCCACCAGCTTCCTCCTCATGGATCCCAAACTGACACCACCTGGGAGAACTTGGAAGTGAAGAGGAATGCTCTGGTGACTCAGCATGGCCACCCCAAGCAGGTTAGCTGAAAGATGAAGTAGGCAGATCATAGAACTCTAACCTGTTTCCCCAACTGTGCTCAGCCAGGGTGGGAGACAGAGGCGGAGGCAGATGAGAATATGGTTTTGAACATGTCTAGGCTCTTGTGGGTTCAGGAATAGACACTCAGCCTGGGCCTGGCATTTGCCTCTGTTGTAAATTTGGCAAGAGGAGGTAATACTGTGGTTGAGTGGCACAGCAAATATTGGCATGGGCATTAGTAATGTCAATTTAACCCTTTTGTTAACCGACATCATTGCACCAGGACTCCAAACCCACTATCACCTCACTTGTTCAGATGGAAGAATATCGGGAGGAGAATGGATATTTTTTTGTGCTTCCTCTGGACACTGTATGAGACACCTTCACACAGTTTTCTTGTGGAACTGACACAGCCACCCTGTGAGGTTTGTAGGTATAATACTATCACCCCGACCATACAGAAGAGGACACTGAGCTTGCTGATACGAAGAGACTTGCCCAACGCACACAGTTAGCAATGTCTGAAATGGGGCTGAACACTTACCTAACTAACACCAAAGACTATTTTTCCTAACCCTCACACCATAGTTTGAATGATCTAGAGCAGTGCCAAGAACCAGGGAGTCCTTTAAAAAGCAGCTAAAGTACATGGCATTGACTTTGTGTACTAAAGAGAGTATATTTTATTCATAGGCAATCTCCCAGGGACTTGCTCAGAGAATTTTTTTTTCCTGCATAGAGCAGGAGAAATTTCTTCCAAGATGTAAGTTTCTTCCAAGATGTAAGTAAATCTTATTGACTCCCAACGATGCTCCCTGATAAGAAGGGTTCGGTTCAGACAGCCTATAGGACCACTCAGATCCTGTTTTGTCATGGTCTTCCGCATGCCCCACCCCACCATATCATTGAGAGCTAGGATCTTATACAGAGAGAGGATAGTTTTTGAGCTCTAAGGATGTAGGAGAAAAGGCTCTTCTTGATTCCCAACTGGGAAGAAGTTCTTTGAAACATCTGTGAACATGATTTAAAAGTAAAAATATATTCTTTTCCAGTCCTAAAAGAATTTATGGCAATTCATTTTGGTATGAGATCAACGACACATAACGGATTTTAAAATTTAAATCTGTGCTTACTTTAACTTCTTTCTTTACTTTCGCAGAGCTTTGTGTTGCTCTTGTTTACTTCTTAGTTATTGACTAACAGTAAGACATGATCATTAAGAGTCATGATCCCAGGGTCCTAGGATCGAGTCCCACGTTGGGCTCCCTGCTTGGGAGCCCGCTTCTCCCTCTGCCTCTGCCTCTTTCTCTCTGTCTTTCATGAATAAATAAATAAAATCTTAAAAAAAGTTTAAGAGTTCTGCTAGATCCTACAAGGGAAATACTTTTTAAAGCATTTTGAAACAATGGAGTCATTCCCCATAACATCCATTAGTCCATTTCAGAGCAGATGGGTTTGAGCACTTAGAAAATTCAGTCTCAAAAAAAAAAAAAAAAAAAAGGAAGAAAGAAAAAAGAAAATCCAGTCTCATGATAATGGTAAAGAGAAAGCATACCACAATACAGCTTCAAGAGCCAACAGGGAGTTAGGACAAATGGTCACCACAGCACAGGCTAGAAAACCAAGACTTTGGGGGAGGTAAAAGACTTCAAAAAGCAGCAATTGAGAGTCAATATTTTTAAAATGTCCCCATAGGAGTGTGTTTTCCAAAGCCAAAGGCTCATAGGTTAAGTATAAGTTTTAATAACTTAGGCAGCTAGCGAAGGAACTTTATTAGACTCAAAATTGGTATTAATCAGAATTTTCCATTAAATCCACTTTCTTTTCTATGCAACACTCAACATGCTTAGACATTAACTAGTTGTTAGGAGGCCTGTGTGTTTGTTATTATTTTATACCATTAAATTTGGGGCTGTGGGATTATTTTCACAATAAAATTTTAGAAGTGTATAACTGCCTGATAAAGATCCAGCCTTGCCAAAATTTGGCCTGCCGTGTTCCAGCTCCCTCCCCAGGGTGGATCTTTATTGGGATAATTTGCTATAATGACATTTTATGAGAGAGCGAGTTTTCATGAGACATAATTTTGGAAATAGGCAGGGATAGCCAGATGTTGTGCTTTATCTTTTGAGTTCCTAAATCATGTTTTAATTCTACTTGATTCTCATAGTTATTAAGTAACCCTGAAAAAAGTGCCAGAGTTTTCTTCCGTGTTTCATAAATCGTAGACAAATGCCAAATACCCTAAACAAAAGTTAGATAGACGGGCAGGCACAGGAAAAACAAAACAAAACAAAACAAAACAAAAAACCCCAAGGGAACCAAAAGACGATGTGAGCAGAGCAGATTTTTCTAAAACCCTTTTTTATAAGCAGGTGTGGGGGCCAGGAAGGGCTCCCATTTTTTACTATAATGTATTCTTTGTCTATAAAGCTGTCTCTAGCCGTGATGAGTCTGAATGGATCCATCCACACATCCCAATCCTATATTTTTTGTGACAAAGGGATATGTTTTGCAAGGTGGCTGCCTGAAACCAAGATGGAGGAGGGGAAGGGGAAGGGAAAGGTGCAGAATTTGAAGTCCCAGGACAGGAAAACAAGAGCCACACATCTTCTTGACCTTGACCATTTGACTTAACAAGATGCACAGTGGCCAGAATAACTCTAGTCCTTGATGCCCCTGTGACATATTATTCAGTTTATAGATAATGTGAGAGAAAGGCCATGAGGTCTGAACAAGCATCCGCTTTTCTGTGTCCTGAAAAGTCCTGACAATTTGCATTTTGTAGTCATGGGCAGGGTGGTTAGAAAGAAAACATGCATTAAAAGTGCAAAGGGGGGGCACCTGGGGGACTCAGTTGGTTAAGCGTCCAACTCTTGATTTCGGCTCTGGTCATGATCTCGGGGTCCTGAGATTGAGCTCCACATCAGGCTCCATGCTTAAGTCTGCTTAAGATTCTCTCTCTCTCTCTCTCTCCCTCTCTCCCTGCCCCTCCCCTTGGCCCTCCCCCCACACACCTTGGACAAGCTTCTTTAACCTTTGTGCCTTAGTTTCTGCATCTGTAAAATGGGGATCTTAACACTGCCTGCCTCACAGAGTTCTTTAAAGATTAAATTAAGTGAGATATGTAAAGTGCTGTCTATAGGTGGCATTATGCATGAGTTATTATTTACTGAATACCTAATAGGTGCCAGACACTGTGTTAGATGCTTTTGTATAAAGTTTTATTTAATCTTTATAACAAACTTAGAAAGCAAGTCATATCATTTCCATTTTGCAGATGCAGACATCAAGGCTCAGAGAAGTCAAGGACATCATTCAAATGTGCACAGGTAAGTGGCCCAAATAAAAGGCATCAAATCCAGGTATTTCTGCTCCAGCATTATATCAAACACCATTGGTGCCCCCAGCTCACTTTAGCTGCTATTTGATAAACACCTACTTAATAGTCTGGACTATTACATTTTTAATCAATTTTATTGATTAGAGAATTATGTGTCTCTCCATCATCATTTGCCTAACTCATTAAAATTAATAGACAGCATTAGATAAATGTGTTTGACACCTGAAATTGAGTCACTCTGGGAGAAAGCCCCATGTATTACAGATTTGGGTGCAACTGGAGGGAAAAAGAACAGTCGCTCCTTCCTTCCTTCCCTCCCTCACCAGACAGGAAGGGCCAGCAAACATACAGCTGCCTCTCAACAAAGTGACAAAGCCCAGGGCAGCCTTTTTTCCTGAGCTGGGGAGCATCTGCTAGCTCAATTACCGGGCAGTCACTCTCACATGGGGCTATGCTTTGGGGGCCCCAAAGCACTCAGAAATTTGGGAACAGGGCTTTCCGCACCAAGAGCACTCAAGCAGGAAGCAGCCCTTCCTGACAGGCTGCCCTGCTCAGCTTCCTGGTATAGAAGAAGGAGAAGGAAGAAAAGGCAACAGAAAGACACCGATTAGAAACAAAACAAAACAAAACAACAAGTGACAGTGTTAAAATAGCACAATCATTTAAAATTTGAGTTTATAAGGACTGTTGTAGTCCTCGTTGACATTTACCCTTTTGATTTGCCAAATATTGGCAAAGTCCTTTGGAAGCTTCTCTAGGTTCCTTCTGGTTGTCAAGGCGTGGGGGTGTGGGGCAAGAGATTTGGAGGTGTGGGGGAAAAGAGCATGGGTACTGCTGGAGCCCAGAAAGGTAATATCTAGAAAACCCAACAGACAGGACACCATGATGCCACCCTCAGAGAGAGGCTTGCAAGGTCTTGGTGTCTGTGGGGCTTGGACTGGGCATGGCCAGAGAAACAACATAGTTCATTGGTGCATCCAGAGATGAGCTTGTGACCTTACTACATAGGCCTCTGTGACCTAACCAAAGATACTAATTAAAGCATTACTTTAACACATCCAAACTGGTTTTAAGATGAAATTAATGGATAGGCTATCCATTACAGGGACTAACTTACACTGTTGGAGAATGCTCCTAGAAAATTTCTTTTTACATGTGCCCTCTTTGAAGCAAATACAGTGTATACACATTTGGATGCATAGAATTGATTAGCTAATTTTTCATGTTACAAAGATTTCTCCTTTTCACTAAAATTATCTTCTTGTCTTCTCTTAAATGGCAGGCTCTTTAAAAAATATGTGCATCTTTCTAGGTATACAACTACCAATGCTCCTTGCTTTGCCCCAGTGATTCCCAAATGAGAATTCTACATGGCTACATGAGAATCAACTGGGTGTTAATAAAAAAACAGATTCCTGAGTCCTTTCCCTAACCTATCTCTGGACATGGGGCTGGGGAATCTGTATTTTTAACAAGTGCTCCAGGTGATTCAGATGTGCAGGTAGAGTTGGAAACCACCTCTCACATAATAAATTTCTAAAATGTTGCACAATCTGAGTTTGGGGCTAAAAAGAAAAAGGCAAACAAATAAGCTGTAGAATCCCTCTTCATTTTACTTTAATTTAAAAAAATTTTACCAAATCATGAAATATTTGAAACATATGGAAGAGTATAAAACATAATGAGAGACATTTATCTATCCACCAACTCCATTTTTCATTCATTTCATTGACTTGCTTCCCTAACAATGGTGTATTGGTAAGTCAACTAACTCTCTGTTCTTGGTTTATTTCCATCATAGCACTTAAGTGGCTTGATATTATTTTATAAATTTGTTTGCTCAATGTGATTATTTTTAGACATCAGATTCATTTCCCATCAGATTAATGATCCAAGAGAGCAGGAAACATATCCATCTTATTCATTCACCATTGTATTCTCAGCATCTAGCACAGTTCCTGGCACACAGTAGGTGCTATCTATTGATTAACTATCTGTTGAATGAATGAATAAGAATTTGTCCTTCCCAAATGACTCTTATCCTAAAATGCCCATTTATAAAACAACGATAATAATATAGAGTTTGTTTTAATGTTCTTACTTGGGAAAATTCAAGAGACCCCAAAGTTACAAACTATTTCTAGTTTGTTGAGTGCTTTCATCATAAAGGGTGTTGAATTTTGCCAAATGCCTTTTCTGCATTAACTGAGATGATCATATGGGGTTTTTTCTTCATTCTGTTGGTGGAGCATATTACATTGATTGATTTCCATATGTTGAACTATCCTTGCATTCCAACAAACTAGGGATCAAGGAAAATATCTCAACATAATAAAAGTCAAATATGAAAACCCACGATGAACATCATACTTATTGGTGAAAGACTAAAAGCTTTTCCTGTAAAATCAGGAACAAAGCAAGCATGTCTCCTTTCACCAGTTCTATTCAACACGGTACCGAAAATTCTAGCCAGAGCAATTAGGCAAGAAAATATCATAAAAGGCATCCAAACTGAAAAAGAAGTAAAAGCATCTCTATTCACAGTTGATATCTTGTGTAAAACACTAAATATGCCACAAAAAAACTGTTAGAAATAATGAATTTAATTAAAATGAATTTAGCAAAGTAGCAGGATACAAAGTCAACAAACAAAAATCAGTTGCATTTCTATATATGAACAATGAGTAATCTGAAAAGGATTATAAAAATCATTTCATTTACAATAGCATCAAAAAGAATAAAATCTTAGGAATGAATTTAACCAAGAAGGTGAAAGACTTGTACAGTGAAAACTACAAAGCAATGCTAAAAGAAATGTAAAAAGACATAAATAAATATTTGGAGACACATCCATGATCATGGATTGGAAGACTTAATATTGTGAAAATGTCAATATGACCCAAAGTAATCTATAGATTCAATATAATTTCTATCAAAATACCAATCATGTTTCTGCAGAAATAGAAAAACACATCCTAAAGTTCATATAGACTCTCAAAAGACCCTGAGTGGAGCACTTGGGTGGCTAACTTAAAAATATATTTTTTGGGACTGAGCTTAGTGGCTCAGTCAGTTAAGCATCCAACTCTTGATTTCAGCTCAGGTCATGATCTCAGGGTCATGAGATGGAGCACAGCATCAGCCTCTGCACTGGGCGTGGAGTCTCCTTAAAATTCTCTCTCCCCACTGGGTGATGGACATTAAGAAGGGCATGTGATGTAATGAGCACTGGGAATTTTATAAGACTGTTGAATCACAGGCCTGTACCTCTGAAACCAGTAATACATTATATGTTAATTAATTGAATTTAAATTCTAAAATGTTTTTAAAAAATTCTCTCTCCCTCTCCCCCTCCCCCACTCTCTCTCTCTAAAAAAAAAAGAAAAGAAAAAAGGCCCTGAATAGCCAAAACTGTCTTGAAAAAGGACAAAACTGAAGGACACACTTCCTGATTTCAAAACTTACTACAAAGCTACAGTAATCAAAACACTGATATTGGCAGAAAGACAGACATATAGACCAATGAAATAAAATAGAGAACCAGAACAAATCTCAGATAGATGGTCAAATGATTTTTGACAAGGGTGCCAAGACCATTCAATGGGGAAAAGATGGTCTTTTCAATAAATAGTTCTGGGAAAACTGTATATCCACAAGCAAAAGAATGAGGTTGAACCTTTACCTTATATCACATGCAAAAATTAACTCAAAATGGATCAAGGACCTAAATGTAAGATCTAAAACAATAAAACTCTTAGAATAAAGCATAGGAAAAAACTTCACCACATTGGATTTAGTTTATTGGATATTACACTAAGAGCATAGGTAACAAAAGAAAAAATAGACAAATTGGGCTTCATGAAAATTAAAATTTTTGTGCATCAAAAGACACTGTCAACAGAGTAAATAAAAAGGCAATCCACCGCGGGGGGAGGGGGGAAAGGCAATCCACTAAATGGGAGAAAATCTTTGTAAATTACACCCCTGATATGAAAAATATCTAAAGAACTAAAACTCAACAACAAACAACCCAATTCAGAAATGGGCAAAGGGCTTGAATAAACATTTCTCCAAAGAAAATGTATGAATGGCCAGTAAGCACATGAAGAGATGCTCAATATCACTAATAATTAGGCTCCTGATGCAGGGCTCAAACTCAAGACCCTGAGATCATGACCTGAACTGAAATCAAGAGTCAGTAGCTCAACTGACTGAGCCACTAAGCTCAGTCCCAAAAAATATATTTTTAAGTTAGCACACTAAAAAGGTTAACAATTCTCCCAACCCCCACCTCCAGGCTCTACTACTTGAAGTCAGCATGGCTTTGGGCCTCTTTGAGCTGACTCCTACTTATATTTACTGACAGAAAAATAGTGCCTACCTGAGATTGCCAAATAATTAAGTGAAGCAATCTACATGAAAGCACTGTGAGAGCTGTAAAGTATTATGAAAAGCAGAGGTGTCATTAAATCTATTTCTGTAGGATGTAATGAGTTCATTCTTTCAATTGAAATTTTTATGGAATTTGGAAGCTGTTCTTATAAACAGACAAGGGATTCAAAATTTACACATTAAAACAAATATTTATTATCCCTTTCAAACTGGTAATCTTGAGAAACTATACATTTATTCTGACATTGCTATGTTTGCTTGAAATATCTTTCAGTTATTGTTCACGTTTCTCCTTTTTAAATTTATTAATATTTTACTTAAATGAACACACTTATTTAAATTTGATATATAAACTTACGTTTATAAGGCCCAAATTTATATATCAAAATACAATGTTTTTACATACTTGCTTAGAAAACAAGAAACTCTAATAAATAAGAGCTAGAAATAACTATATAATTCCTATAATAATACAAATGCTTTCCTGATCTAACCAATCTCAGTGAATTAAAGTTACTGTAATTTTATATTAGCCACTCATACCTAAAATCCCATTAAAGTTGAATATTTCATTACAATATATATCCCATTACTTTG